TACTTGAGTATGTTTGAGGTAGAAAAAGTAAATGACCTGACACTTTTGATCTTGAATATTAAAAATTTAATGGGAAAACATGCCTTTCAACAGGTACCAGCAATATTACTAAACTTATATATTATTATGTTTAGTGAATTCTATAGACTTCCCACATATATCCCAACATGAATCAGAGATTTTGAAGATTATTTTTGTGTTACAAATGAATAAATTAAGATTTGAATACTTTTTCTAAAATGCATAACTATTGAATAAAAATTATATTAAGAGATAATTCTTTTGCCTGAAAAGCTGGATCTCCTGGATCTTACAACTTCATTAACTAGGAGTGCTGCAATAGGTTGTTTATGATGCTGTGATAAAATGTTTAAGATGCTTTGAGATTTCTCAAAGGAGCAAATAACTTTGAATGTAGCTTTGATATGTGGAATCCCTGGAGCATATACAATGCATTGAGCACACATACTTTTATTGTCTCTGTAATCTCACACTCCCTAGAAAATACTGACTGCTTGTCTTAGTGACATGTAAATAAGTTTTTAAAGGTTGTGTTTCTTTTGATCTGATTTTGTAAGCATTATTTTCATGGTTAATCTATATGGAACTGTATTTACTATGTTGAAAATATATAGCCAAATCACTGCATAGTGAAGCATGATCTATTAATTAACTGTGACTGTGTGGTTTAATGGAAGAGAAATTGTGTTCTCTCTAATTTTCAAGGCCATATATTACATGAGATATGGGCATACTCCCTCTGGAGAATATGGGGCAGATAATACCATTTCCTTCCAATTCATGGATGTTGGTATGTCATTGGTTTACAGCAATACCACTCCAGTCATCAGGGACAACATCTTTAAATCCTTCTATCCACATTCATCTTGACTTCTCTTGTGCAGTATGTCCGATCTTTCTTTTGCCTTTTCCTTGTCTTTTTCTCGTAATGACACCATGACTCTAATTTTTGTACACTGAATAATTTTACATCTCAATAATCTAGATATGATTGTATAGTGTACACACACTAGTGGTTTGAATGAGAGCGGCTTCATAGGCTTATATATTTGCATGCTTAGTACACAGTTGGAGGACTGTTTGGAAATATTAAGAAGTGTGGTTTCTTATGAGGTATTCACCAGAAATCAGTTTTGAGGTTTCAAAGGCACACTCTCTGACCAGTCTCACTCCCTCCTTCCTCCTGCTACTGATCAGGATGTATCTCTTATTTGCTTCTCCAACACCCTGACTACCGACCTGCCATCATGCTCTCTGCCATGACCCTAATGTTCTAAATCTTTGAAACTATAAAAAAGCCCTGATTAATACTTTCTTTTATAATAGTTGCTTTTATCATGTATATAGCCACAGCAATAGAAACCTTCACTAAGAGAATATATATCATATACCTAGCTGAATATACATAAATAAATGCACAGGCAAGCTGTGCATAACAACAAATTCTTTTTTTTTCAAGTACTGTGATTTTTATTTTTATTGTCCCAAGCATCCTATGCCAGCAACATAGATGGACGTGCTTGTGCCTGTCCATGATGTCAGAAACAAGAACAACAGAATTCTTAAATAACAGAGCATGTCAGTTGGCACCATTGTCATCTGAGGTTGTGTAAATACACTTTGTAAGTTTCTCACATGATAAAAATTCCCAGTGGTGCAATTTTAGGAAGCATTGTCCTGGTTAGGTGTGAGGAAAAAGAGGGGAAACAATGATTTTTCTGAGTGAGGACCAGCTGCACTAGAAATAAAAAAATTGAATATTTATATGAATGAATAGACCAAATTCTTCTTTGCAATGTCTCCGGGTTTGATTTAATCATAATTTAATTTTGCAGTTAATGATGTATAATGTTTAAACTTGCTCATGTAAATGATACATAAATATTATTGTTTTACTTTGCTGTCAGCTTAAAAGACACAGTTTACTGCAACCCATGTCTCGCATGCATCTGTGTTTTTGCCACCATTAGAATAACTTTTGCAATCATCTAGCACAGGTAAACCCATCACGTTTACCAGATATAGCTTCTGTAATGGTCTGTGTCGTGAGGAATACATTTACATATAATCTTATCATTCTTCAAATTACTATATGATCCAACTATCATTTATTTATGCTTTAATATAATAATCTTTTTAACAATGCAAACATTTTAAAGTATTTTCTTAATAAAAGAGTATACTAATTTGTTTCCATTTTGAAGAGAACTACAAAAGTAATATTTGTAACCAAATCTGATTAGTGTAATTTATTCACTGGTAATGGATAGATACTTGTAACTCTTTTCTTCCTATTTTTATTGGCATTGCCAGATTTCTTTAAATATTTCAGACAACTGAGGTTTTAGTGTATGTATCTTCAGTAGTACAGTGTTTAAAACGAGCCATTGAGGAAAATAACCATAAGACGGGGTCACTTTTATAGATCAGATGAGATATATGGTGACTCCTTTTAATGAAAGATTTTAGGGAAAATATCCTCACATTAAGTACATATAATTTATGAATTTAAATGAAAGAAAATATAATGAAATTATTCCATGAAACTAAATTTTTAATTATTCCAAACTAATAATCAATATGTAATTTGTAAAGTCAGTGCCTCTATAGAGATGTTTAAACACATGCGGGTTTAAACAGACTGAAATAATCAGTGGAAAACAGAACAAAACAGTTAATGGATGTTTTTGCTATCTAAAGTGGGACAATTAAAGGTGTTGCAAAGCAGTCTCTAATTATAAAATACCTGTTTTTATTTTAAATTCTATGCCCTATTGTTTCAATAATAATAATAATAATAATACAGTTTAATCAACAAAAGACTTATTTAATCCATTTTGTTAAAATTGTAGATCTTATAATCCACAAGAGCTCAAGTAATTTTCAATGAAAAAATGATTAACTGCATGCAGTTCTTTCCTGTGGACATTTGATGGATTACTACACTTCAGGTCAAAAATATACCCCAAGAAAACCTGCAGTACTACAGTGGTTGTCTGCAAGAATACATACAAAATTTGGCATTATGTTATGCTTGTCCCCTTTGGCTATGGATTATTTGAGTGCCTGACTACAGTGGTTACTAGAAATGGTTGTAGGTAGTGGTGAAATTTTGTTATGTATCATATCCTATGGATCCACTGGAATACAAATGTTTTAATTACTTCATTGGAAAGCAGTGGGACACTTTGCTATATTGATTTGCTAGGAATAAGACATTCCTAGCTCTGCTAGTTTTTGACTCTGGCTGTTAAAGAACCATCACTTCTTGGTTTGCAGCCTGGAATAATAGGTTACATAAATAACTGCATTGTGTGCTACTCATCTAAACTTCATGTGATTCCACTATTTATTAATATCATACCGAGCAACTCTGTCAAGAATATGCACTGCTATTCTCCCCCAGCAATGGGAGTGACCATGACAGGATGAAACAATTAGACACAGGTGAAGTGCCATTACAGCTCAGGCTATGGCATCACCTGGACCTGTTGGAATAAAACCACTGTTTGGTCTTGTGACCTTTTTGTTTATCCCAGGATATCTGGGAAACCCTTGGACTGACAGACTAAGAACAAAAGAAGTGGGGAGGTTTGTAGGAATGGGTAGGAGATAAATGAGGGCGTGGAGGAAGAAAGTAATAAAAAAATATTATGGACATGTATTGAATTGCCCAGTAACAAAATAAAGCAATAATATATTCCAAAAACTCTTTTCAAGCTTTGGTCGATGACATAGATCCTCTTGGCCCCCATTCTTAGAAACATCATAACCTTCAAAATCCTCTAAAATTCTTTCACATGTGATTGCATGCTGGAATCAATATTTGTCATATGCAGGATTCTTTCCTAATTTAATATTTGCTGTACTATATCAAGGAGAGATTATATTTCATAATCTTGTCACTACTCACTATAGGCAAGTTAGGCAAACACAAAGAACCTGTAACTCTGCGTAGTTCATCTTCAGGTAACGTATAGAGTCTCATAAATTGAGTGGGAACAAAGCCAGCTTTGTTCTTGGCTACACCTTATTGAATGAATGCACACCATGAGAGGTGAATTATAGTTCAAGGAAGCACAAGCATTTCTCATGTGGACACAAGCACAGCTCTCTCCAGGATAGGAAATTTGTGAGGAATAGAAGAAACCCTCCCAAATGGGTTATTGGGATATTGAAGTATCCCTAAATTTTCCCCCAAAATAGGGGTATTAAAAAAACACAGCAATGCAAGTGAGTTTCTTTGGTACCTCATGAATGCTTCCATTTCTTAGTGTCTGTTTATTTAACACAGTGAAGCATATGGTGAAAGGAAACTTGAGTACATATCCATTTATCATTGTGATAAATTGTTTTATAAAAGTTGTTACCTTTCCCCTGGGATAATCTCAATTACATATTTAGGAATAAATATCTGCAATTAAGTTACCAGCCAAAATGAAGCAATTATGAAGATATTAGGTATCTGCTGTGAGATGAAGACAAGCTGTTATCTTTCACTTAGCTTTAGCTCCTACTAAATCTAAGGGTATTCCTGAATTAGAGCATGATTACAAGAGATGCAGTAAAATTTTGATACTCTGGATTATTTTGGAATCCCAATGAAACTGGATGCCTTCTATAGGCATTTGTTTGTTTTAAAGTATCTATGTATGTATCTCCTTTATTATATTACCCTGAACAATAGAAAGTATTATTCCAAAGATTAACAGTCCCAAATGAACACAACTATTAGGTCAGAAACTTCTTTATGAAAACATACTATTTTAGACTTCTGTGTTGTTAGTTAGGGAGGGGTCAAGAATGCCAAGAAACCCCACAGAAGGCTTTTCTTTTCTTTTTTTTTTTTTAACAGAACTTGCCTCAAGTTTATTTGTAAAAACAGCATAAGGTCCTGGACATCTGCAAATACTGTGTAGGTGTTCACACCAGTCCATCTGTCTTCACATTGGCAGACTGAGACCTTTTTTATGGGGCCTTCACAGGGGCCTGGGAACCTTTGGGAGCCTGAGCTGCAGCTGAGGCCTCTGCCTTGGCTTGAATCTTGGGCTTTTTTTTTTTTTTTTTTTTTTTTTTTTTTTTTTTTTGAGTCTACGACCCCTGGCCATGTAGCTTCTAATCTGCTTCCCAAGCTTGGGGTGAGCAATTAAAGCCAGAATGGTGAGTTTGAGGCTGGGGCCCTTTGGCACCTTGGGCTTCACCACCTGGGGCTTCACCAGGGCCTTGATGGCCTCCGCAGGTGCACTCATGGCCTTTGCATTATTTGGCTGCATCTTCTTCAGGCCTTTCTTGTTGTGCTTCTTGGCAAAGCGCATGTTCCTCAGGAACTTGGGGTCAAACCTTTTGAGAGATTCGTATCTTTGTGACCGGGTTTTCTTGATACCATTTCTGTGCCATTTCCGGGACTGGTTGTGTGTGGTGTGGTTCTTGGACTTGGCCATGGCTGGATGGTAATTGGTCCGTAAGGCTTTTGGTAACATTGAGATTTTCCTGTTCCTGGAAGCACCAATTTACGTCAAAAAAGGATCAGCATTAAATGAACCTCCATGTAGAGTTTACATTTATTGGGGCAAAATACCCATTCATTAATAATCTTCCCTTGCTTTGACTTCTAACAGTACACAGTCCAAACTGGAAAAAACAGGACAGAAAAAAATAACTGCTGAACATTGCCAAGACAAAGTAGGCAAGTACTTTAAAATTCCTTTTTCAGAAGAAAGTCTGCCAGATATTCTGGACCTGTAGGATGAAAATGAATGTTCCAACATTACAGAGAACCTCAGGTGACTGTCCAGGCAGCCAGATGTTTCTGTCACTTTTATAGCTTTGAAAGTTGTTATCTATGTACTTCCTACTTACGCAGGTAATATATCCTTTTTGGATATCTGATGGAGTTGAAGATGAAATAGTTATAATTATAGTTTTCTTTGTTACCAAATTCAGAAAAAAATAGCAAGCAAGGTATGAAGTATACAAGGTTGAGAAACACAAAAATTTAAATTGCTTATCTAAAAATATTTTGAGGTCTAAAATGATAGTTTTAAAATGGTAATAAAAGTTATAATAGAAAATAGTTTAAGCATAAAATTTTAGATTTACTGAAATAGGATAGATAATAGAATATTTTCTTTAAAATTTCCAAACACTAATGGACTAAACATTGCAAATATATTTTTTACTTCATAATGATTCTTATTGCACATAATTTTACTGTATTCTTGTATTCTAGTTAAAATCTTTCCTTTTTATTTAGACAAAAGGGGGAAATGTTGTAGAATAATCTTTTGTACATTATAAAGACGTGTCTTGGCCAAGGTGCCTTTTGATTGGGTTAATAAATTGCTGAATGGTCACTACCTTGCAGGAAGTATAGGCAGGACTTCCAGATAGTGAGAAATGAGATAGGAGATAAGCTAGATGCTGTAGAAGATGCCAGGAGACATGGGGATGAAACAAGAAGCACAAGATAGAAGAGAGGTAATAACATGTGATAAACTGTGGATTAAGATAAATAGGTTATTTTAATTTATAAGAGCTAGTGGAATAAGCCTATGCTAAAGCTCCATGTGCACATGCATGTTCAGTTACTTGATAAAACAAGTAGATGAAAATGTATTTCTAACTTCTTAATACACACGAAATCAAGATCTAATTGTAAGAACACACTCCAAGAATGGAGTCATGTGATGGGAATTCTGTGTGCTTGTGAGAAAATGCCAAAAAAAAACAACCAACCAAACAAACAAATCTTGTAACCTCAGTTTCTTCGAAAACACAGAATTGTTTTTGGAATGTGTTTCCATGTTCCTCCCGGGTATAGCAAATAGGAGTGAGTTCGCTTTAGATAATTCATTATGACCAGATATTGTTATTTTCTTATATGGAAAAACATGTCTTTGCCATGTGAGACTTGCCCATTATGTGCTGCTTGCCCACTGTGTGCAAGCACGTGATTGGACACTTTATTATGTGATTTAACCCTCAGAGTTAAGGGTTGTCTGATGCTCTGAATAAAGTTGGCTATTTCATGAGAATTTAGTTCACCTCATTCTTAGGCTTCACCCTTCCCTGTTCCACCATTAATTGGAGCAGTTAGCAGTATTCTGTTGTGAAACTTCAGAAAGTGTTTATTATATGCAAGGATTTTAATGTATAATATATACTTGTGTAAAAATTAAAATAGTTTTAAAATTTCTCATCTTAGCAAACAAGTAAATCTAGTAACTGCTTTCATATAACACATACAAACACTCCACATATACAAAACCAGTAAACAAAACCCTAGTCTGTAACTATGAAAAATATTTAATAACATTTTGCAGTGAGTCATTGTAGATGACTTATTTCTGGGTAACAGAGCATGCTATTTTTTTTAAGATAGTTCTTAAAATATGACAGCATCTCAGCATGAAAGCACATAAACAATGTCTTCTCTATGTTCTTTTCACAGAGAAAGAAGGAAAAATACTAAATATATATAGCAGTATGTTATAAAACAGACATTTTTAAATAGTTCAAACTTCCTAAACCTTAATATTTGCACAGATATATGATTGCAAAAATATTGCCAAAGTGAAAACAGAGAGTGCATCAATATTTATGATGTAATTCATGCAAATTCTAAGAAATATACACATAAAAATAGATCATTTTAAATGTTCTTAAATTAGTGTTACTACCCTGAGAGGAAATAATGATTTTATTACTGAGAATGACTATTATATAGCACATTAATAGGCTAAGAATGACTTGGAACCAACATTCACTACAAAGGGATACAAACAAACTGTTCCTCTAGAAATTAATTAATATTAATTTAAACTAAAATGAAACATTTGAGTATGTATGCATGCTACTTTTGTTTATATACTGTATGGGTGTCTTTGTTGATGTGGGAGTCCCCTCTGTATGCCATAAATAACATCGGTTAATAAAGGACTGTCTTGGCTCTGTCCAGGAAATAGAGGTGGCCCAGAAAACTAAACTAAATGCTGGGAGAAAAGAGAAAGAGTGGGAGAGAAACAATGTGGCCTCACTGGAGCCAGACTGAACTTTAGATTAATAGAAATGTTTTAAATTAATATATTAAAGTTACCCAATAGAAGCAGGAGCTAATGGGACAAAAAGTCATTTAGTTAACACAGTTTTGTGTGATTATTATGGGGCTAAGCAGCCAGGAACCAACAAGTGACCCTTATCCAACAAATGTGTGGGTGTATGAATTTAAATTTTGCCTGTCTGACCCATGAAATTAGATTAAAAGTTTCTGATATTTGGTTCTGAACATGTCTAATTACTAGCAATGCAGTTTTGGAGAATGGCTTGGCTATGTTTCATCTGAGAGTAATAAAACAGTGACTCAGAACTATGGGATAGTTATGAACCTTTGGTGGGAACATGAATGTAGCACACTAAGAAGAACCTTTCACTCATGATTGTTTAACAAATGTTGATTTCTACCATTACATACTATACAAATAGCATGAAATAATATCTGGGAAATGTATTTAGAAATTTTAAATTACATATGTCTTGACTTTAGTAAAATTATGGATGATCCAGATATATTATACACATATATAAAATTATCTGTATTTAGTTAACATTTTCATGAAAATATTTGGATTAGTGCAATTTTAAATTTAATTCTCTAGTATATTGCCATTTTTAGTGTATATTTTTAATATCCCATATATAAAAATGTACATTCAGCGAAAAAATCAATGTCTCATCTTTCTGGGAATCAAAATTAGGATAATAAAATTCATTGTTTATTAAATAAACAATAGTGAATGCTTCTAAAATTATTTATATGACACACATTCATTTTGTATACAAATGCTAATTTGGTCTATGTTTTACCAAGAAGAAAGACAATATAATATATATATATATATATATATATATATATATTATTGAGATTATTCATAATTTCTCACACTGACAATATTCTCATTCCAGAACCACTACATATTTATGTTTTATTCATTTTGAGTTATATTATCTAAATTTCCCAAATATATTCTATAACATCAAATTGATGTGTGTAGTAATAAAAGCGGCGGGGCTGTGTCCCCGTCACCCCGGCTGCCTGCTAGCTTATGCCCGAAATAACAACACACAAACTGTATTCATTTAAACACTGCTTGGCCCATTCTCTTCTAGGCTAATTCTCACATATTAATTTAGCCCATTTCTAATCATCTGTGTGTAGCACCCCAAGGTGCGCTTACCGGGAAGATTCTAGCCTACGTCCATCCTGGGTCGGAGCTTCAACGCGTGTGTCTGCCCAGGAGAGGAGAGGATGGCGTCTCTGAGCTCACTTCCTCTTCCTCCCAGCATTCTGTTCTGTTTACTCCTCCCACCTATGTTTTAACTTATGAGGGCCAGCCAAGCAGTTTCTTTATTGCTTAGCCAATGAAATCAACAGATTGATATATGACACTCCCACATCAGATGTGTTATCTAAACATAATACTTTAACAAGAACAGAATACATGTAACAAAATTGACCTTAAATTTGTTTCAATAGAACAAGATCAATTTTAAAAAAGATTTACTGTGACCATTAATGATTTGTACCCAACACCTTTTAAATGAAAACAAATTTTTCTAAACATTCATTTTGAAAATTTGAGTATAGTTTTCTTCAAATTCTTCCTGCTTTTTTCTGGTCAAACTATTTTTAGGATTCACAGAGAAATTTCAGAGGTTCTTGTTCCATCAAACAACATTAACCTGGAAGGAATCCACAGGTTCTCATCTTCAGAAAGGTTCCAGGTCCTTCTCCTTCAGCAAATACATGGCACCTCCCTGACACTGCCCACTTTCTCTATATAACTCTGTTGGCATGTTTTACCTGAGTCTGCTCTGCTATATCATTTACCTAAACAGCTTTATTCATTATCCAATGGTAATAAAACGTATTCACAGCATACAGAAGGAAATTCCACATCAATGTTGGTGATTTCTAGTATCATGTCAGCATATACCTCATTATCCAAGTTAGAACAGTGTGAAATAAGATATCAGTGTACTTAAAATAACACAGAGATAAGAAATCCTAAGTGGGTAATCCCAAATAATAGTTATCCTAAATAGAATATGAAAATGGACATGCACACATTGTTTTAGAGAATTATTGGAAAAACAGCTATAGTATTTTCATGTTCCCCACATCCATTTTCTATATAACAAGTGTTTTACTATAGTATATTACATAATAAAACAATACTGATATATTATTATGGTGTCAAAACCCTATTCTTAAAATAAAAAACAAGTAAGCATTCAAAGTATAAGAGGTCACAAACATTGCAGGGCTATTTCCGTGGCTCTCTTCTTCTGAGACTTAAAGTGATGGAGTGGTCATCTCTCATAACCGTACACCAAGATCATTGAATTCATCTCCTGTCTCCCCTCTTACTTCCATCCTGACATT